GCAAATGACTTCTTTTGTTATCATAACTTTCAAAAAGAGGGTGACAAAGCTTTGATGTTTGTTGCATATTGCAGTATGCTGCATTAGACTGGGCTTTGCGTTTTTCCATCCTTCTCTGTTTGCATAGACATATACTACATGTTGGGTTTAGTGCTTGCTTGAGTTGAGAGTTGACTACAGCCAATGTGGAAAATATAATTTCTCTCAAGATATAACTGCTGTAGCAAGTGTGCTGATTTGCTTACATTTGTGTGTCTGTGTGTATTTTTTTCATCATAAATATTGCTTGCTTTTGTGGATAAATCTCTTATTGAAAATACATTTAGCTAATCTTAGCATGACTAATGAGGATGTTTGAAATTCAGTTTTTGCTTTGCATTGCACAAAACATTAACTGTAGTTCTATCAGGATTGTTGGTTTTCGTCTTAAAATATTGATAGCTTTGAGACTGTGAACTGCTAAAAATTATCATGAAAATAAATTGTAGCCCTGTTATTTACACTTACCATATTGGAATGAATGCACATCACTTGTCATATTTGGTTTTGGGTTTGTGTTTTTGATTTTTTTTTTCTTTTAATCAAATGCATGAAGGAAAATCTGTGGGAGCAGAGAATCTCCCAGCATTGTGGAAGTTCGGGCTGCATCCTTTGTGTAGATTTTTTTGATTACTGCGCTGTCTTGTAAATGTTCAGTAGTATTGGTTCTTCTCTCTGACAAATCACCAGCTGAAAGAAGAAACAAAAGTCCAAGAAAACAAGAAGGTTGAGAACACACAGCTGAAGACAAAACGCCTGAGAGAGCACACCATAAAGTGCTATTCGAGTATGCCTCCCAATCAGACCTACATCAACTTTGAGCGCTTTGCCTGGGTAGTAGAAGACATTTCACTTATGGGACGGGGTTTCAGCACTTTGGCTGTGTCCCACGCCTACTTGCAGGAGGACACTGATACTCTGGTTTCCATTTCTAATGAGAAAGAAGCTTGGTACAAAGAAGAGAATGAAAGTGTGAGGCACAAGCTGTCTCAGCTGAAGTATGAATACCATAAAATTGAATCCCTGAAAAGACATCTACAAGATGATATCAAGACTGTAGGCACAAGTCTTACAGGCATAACCGCGAAATATGCTGATCTGCAGAGTCAGTATGAATCTTTCAGTCAAGAACTTTCTGAGGAACTCAAATGGATACAGGATTTAATGAGTAGTTTTCATCTGGAAAATGAAGCCTGTGTGAATGGAAACTTTGACTCTGTTTTCAACAAAGATATTAATGAATCAGTAAGGGAGCTGTTAAATAGATCTCACTGTGAAGAATTCCTTGCAGGTTTGAATCTTGATATAGCAGAATCAAATCAGTAATGTTGTAGATCAGGCTAGGTGCAGGGTTTGCTGCCTGTTTCAATGTATAGCAGTTTAAAAAGTTTTCAATGCATACATTCTACACAAAAACATCACCTAGAACTAAAATAGAAATTCTGATGTATTGCACAAGGTGCTGACCAAAACCATAAACTCCCAGTGGTTTGTAGCATTGAAGATTTTTTTTTTTTCCCCCATGTTTGGTGTCTGAACTTACAGGAACTAATCCCAGTGGTATGGACACATCTAACCCTACAGCCTTTTGCATTACCTATCTCATGCTTCATCATGTATTACAGTTCCTGAAGATTACTAAGTAATTAACTTGGAATAAAGAGTAGGTCAGTCTGTACTTACTAGAAGCTGGGTGGCTGGAAACTAATAAAAATCTCATGATAGCATCTTTGGTTGGATGGAGGAAACAGTCATGTAGACGTGCTGCAGGCAGTTCTATAGACCATACAAGAGAAATATTTGCAAAGTTCTGTCTGTCCCGTAAAACAAAGTAAATGGTGTAGTAATTTAACATTTAGCTAGTACTGTGGAAATTCTCTGTGAAATGGCTGCTGATGAAGAAAAGTTCAGGTTATTTTTTTAGGCCAGTTATGCAGGGTGAAATCTTTTACCATCAAAGGTGTTTGCTGTTGATTAATCCTTTAGTTTAAAATTCAGCTAAGTTTCCTGCCCTCTACCAAAGAAATCCTATTCAAAAGACACAATTGGTAACTTGTGATGAAATGATCAAATAACTGTGTATGTAATTTTACAGTGCAAATATTAATTTGTGAATGGTAAGTGATAACATAGACCTCTGGTTTGCATTCTACAGTAAAGAAGATGACAAAGCTAGAACTAATTCAATCTGTGGTGTGGGATTTGAGACTAGTGTTCCTGCTGTGAAGATTTTTTTTTTCTTAAGTTTTAGAAAATAAAAGAAAAGTTGGCCCGAGCTTGCATCATGCCTTGCTGTCTTGTATTTCAAAGAAGTCATCTGTTATACCATATTAATATGTACAAATGTACCCGTCTTGGTTTTTGGACACAATAGATAGTTACTTATGCAGGTTGTAATTGTTCCCTGCTGGTGTAGTTAGTGACTGAAAAAGAGATGTCAAGCTTCCGTGTACTGAAAAGAGTTGCCAGCCTAGGTGCTGCAGCTAGTTTACAGCCCCTTTGCTTAGCTGTATGAATTTGCTGCAAGGTGACTGTTATGCAGCTACAAGAATCAGTGAGATAGTAGCCAGGTATCCCTGCGTCACTGCTCAAGTCCATTTAGAATGGATCTTTATATATAAAGTATGTCTTTCACTGCCCAGCCTCCCTCCTCCTTTTCCAAAGAAGCTAATGACCTTAATTGAACTGTTGTTGTTCATAATATTATGAAGAATAATGTTTCCTACCTGGAGATAAAAAGATAAAAGCATATTGTCATCCAATTTGTGTAGAGTACAGCGGACCCACCACTGACATGTCCTCAGAAAGACGTGCAGAGGCTGGTGAAAATTCAGAGTTCTGAAAACAGTTACTCAATAGGGGCATTGTTACTCCTGTCATTTTACTCGGTGAAGGATGGAAACTGGATGTGCCCTCTGTGGCATCTTTCTTTGCACAAGATGTAAAATTTTCAAAAGCTTCAAAGCAGTGTAGATAGCCCAGAGCTGTCCCTAGCAAGCTGGTGTTGATGGCTGGGGAGAACTGGGCTCCACTGTGACAAATAGTATTCAGAATTTTACATATGTCCATTTTTTATTCTCAGAATGCTTCAGTCGTCACTTCTGCAGGTTCCTTTGAGCTGGAAGACCCACGAGATACTGTCCAGGGGAACTGGAACGTGGGCTTTTTTTTATGAGGGAGAGCGTTTTAATTCTTAAGAAGTAACATGTCTTAGTGAGACAGTATCTGCAGAAAAGACTCTCAAGAAAGAGAGTCTGCTTTCCTTCAGCCATGATCTCATATTCTCTGTTAATGTAGATTTTCTTTGTGAACAAATGCACTGGCAGGATGAGAAGGAACATTAAATGAGGCCACTCTGTTCCTGAGCTTGTTTGGGTGAGGTTAATATTGTTGTGATTCAGTCGTCGAGGCTAGTACTTTCTGAACTGGAGGTCACTGACGTGCTGCTTTTGAGAAGGCATTCTGATGATTGAGAAAATGACAAGGTCACTGGTTTGCAGGCTACTTAGAGATTGAGAGGCAGGTATTAACAGTCTGGAGTACTGTCAAGTGAGCTATTTTGATTCAGCAATGGTTCCACTGCAGAAAGGGCACTGAAATTTTTCATGATGATTGTACAGCTGACATACAGCCAGTGACATTTTTTCCACTTCAAATTGGTTTCTATTCAGTGTTTTGTTGCACCATGCTAGCCTTTTGCAGCATAAGGAAATGATATTTAGTGCCTAAATGTTCCAGTTCTGTTGTATGCAAATAGTGTATACATCTAAATGAGAAAGAGGCCTAGCTGATAGCTTGGCTCCTTGAATTACTGTTGAGATACCTGCATAAATGCTGTACCTACATTTGAAACCTAAGTGGGGAAGTGGTGAGGGGCAAGCTGCAGTAGCTGCCCCTGCCCTGTTGGACTAGGTGATCTCCAAAGGCTCCTTCCAAACTCAACTGTTCTGTGATTCCTGGAGAGTCCAGTGTTGACCAAAGCTGATCATGGACTTACTTTTCTTGGGTCACCTTCTAATTGTGCTTGGGATCTGTCAATCTCAGACTAACTGCAGAAGATTACTCACAGTGGCAGGTTACCTGAGCTGTTGTGAGATTTTGATAAGCAGACAGGGTTTTATTGGCCAGCTTTGTGAGAGACAGGAGAAGGGCTAGTTTCTGGTATCACTGTAGTATTTGGGTTGTCAAATATAGCTAGTGCTCGCTGAAGTTCTTTCATATTTCACATTCTCATGAATTCACGTTCTCCATCTTCAGATCTGAAATGACTGCCTCAAACTTACCTATGTACCTTTGAAGTCTGTCCCACAGCACAACTTTTTTATTTGTTCCTTCTGTGATTAAAACAGCCTGGTAAAAGGAAAACCTGTAAAAGCACAATGCAGAAAAGGTTTGCTAGAATAAAATGAAGAGCTACATGTTGGAAGTTAGGAAAGGGCCCTAATGTATCTTCCCTTTTAAAATGTCCTTGTAAAGGGCAAAATGTGAAAACTTCTGTCTGAAAACTTACAAGGTAGCACGGGACCTAACAGTGCGATGATGCTGGGTTTAGTCCTATTCTGTCATGATTTCTAGCAAGCACATGCAAAACCCCTGAGCAGCAGTGATGACAGCTCCATCATCTTTCTGTTGGGCCTCTGGAACCTTTTCATTGCTCTCCCAGAGCCTTTCAGAAAGAGGGACATGAATAAAGGGCAGCTGGTATGAGCTCAATCCAGAGAAAATGGAGATGGTGCAGGTGTGCACTGAGAAGCACCTTAGCGACTTTACAGAGTGAAAGCGTTGCCTTAGCACCCTCTGGCATCCCCTTGGTTGCCTCCTTTTATTTGACTGTCCTTCATCCTGTCCTTTGGCTAGAAAAGCTGTTTGTAGAATTTTTTTTTTTTTTTTTTTTTTTTTTTGTATGTGTGGAACATGATGAAGCAGAAGGCAGAACTGGAGGCTGGAGCAAAGTCCATGCCATGTGATACCACTTTTGTGCCACGTTGAGTGGCTAGGAAGGGGCAGCAGTGGGACTTGGAACAATTTTGTGCGCAGGGCCAAGTGTGACCACTGACTCTGCACTAGTTTTAGGATTTTGTTCGAGATCAAAGGGGTCCTGTCCAGGCACAGAGTGGACTAGATTGACTTATTTTTCTTCTGCTTTTACCTGTGTGAATCCACAGTTTCCCCAGCCAGCATTCTTTCCATCCAGCTCCAGAGCACATGAAGAATCTTATGTATTTTGTGCACCAAAGGAAGCAGAGCATTAAAATTGCTCTCTTACCTTCCAGCCAGGGGACAAAGGACAGGCTTTGGTTCGGCAAGCATCTGTTGTTAACATGGAAAACTTCAAAAGGCAATATGCCAGAAGGTGATGGAAGGTATGACAATGACCCTTGAATCCTCGTGTAAGGCTTCCCAAGCCTGATGAGATCAGAGGGCAAGATAGAGCTTGAATGTAAAATTGTGAGACGCAGTAGATAAATGAAATGTGTTTGTCTATGTCTGCACTGCGGATGTGTGGTCACATTCTCATTCTTCCCTCTCTCCATAGCTTTCTTACAGTATTGTCTCATCGTGCAACCACTTATCTCATTCACTGGTGACAAAGGTCCTAATACGAGATGACAGTTTGGTAGGTACAATTCTCAAACGGGGAGAAGGACCAATTGTACTGTGTGGTAATTTTTGCTGTCCTTATATGGATGCAGAGGATGGCAATGGTTTTGAGTGGGAAACCAGACAGGACCATGGCATCCCTTGTGTGTCTTTAGTGCTGCTGTAAGTTGTGTTACTACGGCAAAAATGTTGGGCAAGGAGAGCTGGTGACTCTGTAAGCCCTTTAGGTGCTAGCCACATTTGTTCTGTAAAGGAGCAGCATGGAGGCTGCGGATTGTTTGAATACCATAGCAGTGACCATGCTGTCTGAGAAATGAGCACTCATGGAGTCTGCACTGCTGCTGTGTGATGGAGGGTGGGGGACCCCTGCAGTGCATGTGACCTTCTGGAATTAAACTCTGTGAGGTGTCTATGAGGTCTGCCTTTCTCACTAGATGATAAGCTAATCATTTTAGAACATCATGTTTAGGAGCATGATATCTCATTTGCATGACTGAAACATTGTGGCCTTTCTGTTTCAGAGCAACTGTGAAAAGTGACAGTGAGGATCATTCACAAAGAAAAGCTACTCGTCAGAGAAGCAGCAGCATATCATAATGTAATGAGAATTCCACGAGCAGCAGACAGAGGAAACATTTTCATCCTTGCTGAAAAAAGCAGCCATGACAGCAGACCTTCACTTCTGGTCTGAATTCTTGGTATGGTGCTTCTCACTTCTCAAACTC